TCCAAAGGGCGGCATCTCTGACAATGCAGCACTGCAATGAAATGTAATCTTAGACTGTATGAGTTCAAGTGCGGACATGGGATTTGAACCCACAACCTTCTGACTCAGAGGCGAGAGTGCTACCAACTGAGTTAAGCTGACATGCAAGCATTGTGTGTCCGCTTAGGCTCAGTATTCCAAGCAGTTATATTCCAATATGCCCTTTGCGATGGCACCCCTCAAACCAGATTTAAATGACTTATTTAGTTTTTGTTTTTTCCCGTGAAAGTTGGGGGCAAATCCCGAGATCAAACTTATCATCTTTCTTTCGTAAGAGTTCAAAATCCAATGGGAGTTGAACTTTACCATTTCATCAAATAGCATTAGATGGCGCCAGAGGACACACTTTACACCAAAATATATTTTAAACATTAAATTTCGCCAGTGAGACTATTTTGACTTAACATTTTAAATTGCACAGAACTGTGTAAAATCCTAGAAGAGGTTCTATTTGGTGGTTGGTTGCTTTTCAAACATTTCGGAAAATAAGGCTTCCAATTTAAGAACTTTTCCAACAATTCAACGACAAATTAATATTTTAAGTCAAAATGGTTTATAGGCGGTAATCTAAGTGGAATTTCAGACTTATCATGTGTTTGCAAGGAACATGGGAGAATAGGAATTGGAAATAGTCATTTAGTGCATCAAGCCCACTCAACTGCTGATCTTAAGCACTCCAACATCCTACACTGCATGAAGGCTGCTATATAAGTGCAAATTATTGTTATCTTACTTCCCTACTTTCTTTGCTCTGCTTGTTAACAGAGCAATACAACATATACTGTTTTATACTGATTGCCAAACAATCTGTCAGTATGATACTTTAATATTATAGTGAGGGACGAATATTTACGTTTGCCATTCATTAATTAGCTTTATCATCATGATCTTGTGTTAGATCTTCATTAAACCTTTTAAGAGCCCCAGGGAAACACATTGTGGGCTGTGCATGAAGCATGTGTAACACATGAGTGCAGCAGGAATTACGCATGCTTTTAATTCTCAATAATGAAAGTATTGAGTGAAAATTAGATAATCAAGTGCTCTAGGATGCTATCCTGCATGAGGGGCGCTATACAAATACAAGTTGTAGTTGTTATCAAGGGCACCTTTACTTTCCTTTTACCCATGTATTTACACATGCTTTATACACAGCGCATAATGCACTCGATTGTGAAAGATAGCCTGTGTGAACAGACAAAATCTTAACGAACAAGACAACAGCGAACTTTTTAAAAAGCCACATTTAAGAAAAGACATTTTAAGAAACCGAGTGTTTCTTTTTCTGTTGAAATGCAACATTTGAAATAACTTAATGTCAGATAATACTCAGCGCAATTCAAATCCTCCATTCCGATCAACCAGAAGAAACTATTGGTAAACAGAGAGGTTGTTTTAAAATAACGGTTCCTTGTGGGAAATATAAGCCAAACACTTTGAAGCTGAATCCTTTTATGGAACAGAAATTTGCTGTTAACCGTGTAATTAGAGCACAACGTCCCAACTTGAATTTGGGGTCTGGTATATAGATATAAAAAAGAAGGAAAATTGAACCCTGCATCAGTGAAGGAATATACAAGGATAGGGTTATACAATGGGTCCATTGTCAAGTATTAATCTTAAGGATTACTGCACTGCATTTGAAGGAAATATGATTTTATAAGAATTTTATTAATTTGCCATGTGGTGGCTGCTCTTCCAGTCAAGGTTGTCATTCTCTCATCGTTTGCAAGAGGAAGCACAGCTTTTAGCTGCTTAGCTTGTTTGGGAGCCAAGACTGGTGCTGAAATATAATTTCCTAACCTCAGAAACACTTACATTATTACTGAGCTTGCTCCGCTGCCACAATTGCAAATGTTTGCTCAAGTGACTATTCAGAACACTGGAGTAATCCCATATAACTCAACTATAATTCCCTTTTTGAATTAGTTGTCTGGAGAAGTAGACACCTCTTTCCCTTTCTCCCCCCACTGCAACCACATCAATGGTCAAATCATATATTAAGGGTTTGGCAAGGCAACACCCAATGCAGCTTGATATTCTATTTTATTAGTAATTGTTTTTGCAACTGAATGTAAGCATTAGAGGTCAGAATTGGTGGATTTCAAAAGGGGAATATCTTCACTGAATTCACTGGTTGATTTTTAGCTCTTTAATGGAAATTGATAAGGAAAGGTGATAGTGGTGAGGTTTCTGAAGCTAAATGAATTAGAGGCATTATTCCTAGGCAGGTGGTTAGTGTCTAATTACAAAGCTTTTCCCTTGCGAAAGGCTATATTATAGGTACAAAACAATGGGCAGCATCCAGAATAGTCTGAAAATCATAGTGCCTTTCTACAAGGGATCTGTGTCACTAATTAAGAACACATCAGGAGTGTGATACATGTATTTGTACAGTTTTCACCTAAGTGGAAGGATAGTGTTTGATGTTACTCCATAAAAAGGTACAATATAACAAAAATAATAATCCTTGCATTTGGTATAGCGCTTTTCACGTCTTCCAGACTTCTCAAAGCGCTTCACAGAATATACTGTAAAGTGAATTGACCGTATATTTATGGGCGAAATGAAATTTACAAGAGAGTAAAGGGAAGACATTCAAACTTTTATGCATTCAGTCCTATTCCTCTGTAGGCCAATATGGAATATATTCCTTTATTTGACAGCTCATGTTCATGTTGGTGCATAAAACATAACAAAAGATGATTTGGCCACAATTATGAAGCAGTCAAGTCGATTATTTTCATTTGGAATTTGTCTTTTAAAGTTCATAAAAACCTTGCTCCTAAATGGATAGTTCAAGACAGAAGGAAAATATGTGTAAAGAACTTTAAAAAAAAATCAAAAGAAAGAAATACAGTAGAGAATAGATTTCCTAGATAAGGTACAAAAGATATTTTGAAGGTAACTTAAAACAAATGCAAAGAGAACAAAAGGGAAAAGGGGATAAAACCAAAAGCAAAATTGAAGTGTTTTACTTTTTATCAAAATTGTGCCTTAGCCATTTATTTATTTTTGTAGTTTAGAGTTAATATCACTGCAGCAAGATACTGTAAACGTTGGCGTTTGATCAGCTTTGTTGCTGTAATGTTGGGGTGGGGGGGGGAGGGCTGGATTGGTTCTGAGTCACATAAACTGGATGGAAACTTGCCAGCATCCCAGCCCCACTGTGAGCAGGGCAGCAGGCTGTCAGCCTCTCAACCTCTGTAGAAAGTGGGGCGAGAAAGTAGACCTGGAGCAGACAGGTGTGCAGTACATCAGGACAGTGTGCAGGTGATCATGTGTGTGTATGTGTCGCGCAGGCTGGGATGGCTGGTGTCAGGGATAAGTAATGGAGCATCCAAAATAATGTGGCCAATAATATCTTGAGATGCATAAATGCCAACACACACACACAGAGACACACACACACACACACACACACCACTGAATTGCATCATATGTTACATATATACGTCTGCAGCCCCCACCCCACCCCAATGCAAAGTGATGCTTCAAATTTCAAAGCAGCAACGACGCTTAATCCTAACACGATATACAATACATACACACAAAAAGGACAGGTCTCACGGGGCTGGGAGACTGTACACTGGAAATGAACACCACACAAGTGAACAGCAGCACTGGTTTGCGGAATGTTGTGCCAATTCCAGGTGTGTCTGCAGTCAGTGCAATTTAACGCAGTCAGCATCCACTCAAATATTCCCACCACAACACACAACTTAATTAAAACATCCCCCAGCCATCAGGACGTTTCCCGTCCAGGTCTGACTGGAAGGAGTCATTTTCTTTCTAGTTCGTTTGAACATCCTGGAAAAAAAAACAACTTAAACCCAACGTTTGATATAGCAGTGCTCTGAATCCACCACCAAACCCCAAACAAACATGTAGCAGCCTGAACCTTGACAGGTGAATGTTTCACTGGAAACAAGAGAAACGCCCTCCAGGAGTACTTGATAAGCATCAACACTCACGTTTCAGATTAATCTGGATTATCCTCGTTGCAATTTGTACTTTCTCCCAATGTGAATAAGTAAGGATAAGATTGGCTTTCACACACAGCTCCTTCCCTCAACACCCTAAGTGTGATGGTTTTAACGATGATTTTATAGTTATTTCACATTTACACCCTCTGCTCTCCTGTTCGCCTTTGACACAGCTTTTGAATGATTGTTGTTAATATTTTAACTGAACTCATTGCGTAATTGTGCGGGCGATTGGATGCCCCCCGTTTGGCCGACAGAATAGACAGTCAATTTACTTTACAGTATACGCTGTGAAGCGCTTTGAGACGTCTTGAAGACGCGATAAGGCGCTGAACCAAATGCAAGTGTTCTTATTATTCTCATTACAAATACACAGCCACTCCACTTTACAGTGAATCCCGCAAAGCGCTTTGAGACGGGCTCGAAGGCGGGATGAGGCGCTGCATTAAATGCAAGGATTATAATTAGTAACGTAGGTAAGATGAGAGGCAGGATTTCCGTACGCCTCTTAAAGATATTGCGGTGGAAACCTGCGATGGGTTTGCGGAGCGTGAGGGCGAGGTGACCGATGTGGGGATTGGAGGGGTTCAGACTGCAAAAGAAAAAAAACGCCAACGGTCTGTGTGGAGACACCCCCAAAAACGGAGAAGATTCCACACCGGGTTTTGGGTGGAACCGACCCCCAAAGATGAGTCGTTTCTCAGGACCGTTCGCGTTAACGAACCAATGGAAAAGTCCGACTGAACCTATTTATTTAAAGTCGTGAGTACACAAATTACAGTCCATTACAAGGCTTGTTAATGCTCCTCTCCCTCCATCCCTCCCTCCCTCCCACCCCTTCCCCCATCCCCCCCCCCCCCCCCCACCCCCACCCCCTCCCCTCCCCTCCCCTTCCCTGACACAGACGTGTTGTGATGTCTTTGGTTAGAAAGTTGATCCACTGACAGTTTTGACAGAACCCCTGTGCCATGAAAACCCAATACAGCGGCTCAGGCTCTGCTCCTGGGAGTGTGCACTCCGACTGCTCCAGGAAACCCCAGCACTTCCCTCTGCTCTCCTCCTACCTGATAGACAGCATCTTGGGGCGAAATGGCCCATCCGTTCGACGAGAAGATGTCCCCCCATCTCCTCCCAGAACCAGAAAGCAACTGGAGACCGAAATGGTGATGGATATCCAGGAGTCCGGGAGGGAATCGTTTCGAGAGGATGCGACGGTTGAAGCTGAGGGTAGGTTTCGATTCGATTGATTGACGTGGCTTTTTTATATCTATATATATATGATATTAATATTAATATTATACGTATATAAAAAATCATATGATATATCGTGAACGGGATTGCGTTAAAAAAAAAACGCTTCCAAAAAAAAAAAAAGCGACGCGCGAACGAAAATGGAAATGGCCCCAACCGTCAACTTTCGTTTTTTTTTCAAGAAAAATGGGGGGAAAAAAAAATTTGGAAAAAAAAATATCACGAAAGCAAATTTTTTTTTGCAAAAGTTCTTTCGAACAACGTTAACGATGGGGATGGGGTTTGGGGGGGAGGTGGTGGGGATGGGGTGGGGATGGGATGGGGTTTGGGGGTTGGGGGGGAGGTGGTGGGGATGGGATGGGGTTTGGGGGGTTGGGGGAGGTGGTGGGGATGGAATGGGGTTTGGGGGTTGGAGGGGAGGTGGTGGGGATGGGATGGGGTTTGGGGGTTGTGGGGGAGGTGGTGGGATGGGATGGGGTTTGGGGGGTTGGGGTGGGGGGAGGTGGTGGGGATGGGGTTTGGGGGGAGGTGGTGGGGATGGGATGGGGTTTGGGGGGTTGGGGTGGGGGGGAGGTGGTGGGGATGGGATGGGGTTTGGGGGTTGGTTGGTGGGGGGAGGTGGTGGGGATGGGATGGGGTTTGGGGGTTGTGGGGGAGGTGGTGGGGATGGGGTTGGGGGGAGGTGGTGGCGATGGGATGGGGTTTGGGGGTTGGGGTGGGGGGGGAGGTGGTGGGGATGGGATGGGGTTTGGGGGGTGTGGGGGGGGGGGAGGTGGTGGGGATGGGGTTTGGGGGTTGGGGGAGGTGGTGGGGATGGATGGGGTTGGGGGGGGGGGGTGGGGATGGGATGGGGTTTGGGGGGTGGGGGGGAGGTGGTGGGATGGGATGGGGTTTGGGGGGTTGGGTGGGGGGGAGGTGGTGGGGATGGATGGGGTTTGGGGGTGGGGTGGGGGGGGAGGTGGTGGGGATGGGATGGGGTTTGGGGGTTGGGGTGGGGGGGAGGTGGTGGGGATGGGATGGGTTGGGGGTTGTGGGGGAGGTGGTGGGGTGGGGGGGGGAGGTGGTGGGGATGGGATGGGGTTGGGGGTTGTGGGGGAGGTGGTGGGGATGGGGTTTGGTGGGGAGGTGGTGGCGATGGGATGGGGTTTGGGGGGTTGGTTGGTGGGGGTTTTCACTCTCTTTTTTTTGTTTCATTTTTTTCCCCCCATTTAAGATCGGTTCACAGAAAGAGCGACTCGCGGAATGGACGCGCGGCGCCACTCCGACCCGAGTCCTCCTCGGGTCAGGGACCGGTCTCAGAAGCCTTCCACCGACCCGGCGGTGACGGGACGCAGCCGAAGACCGGGCGAGAGCGAGAGGGCCCGGGAGGCGCTGGGAGACGCTCCCGCGCCCTTGGAGAGGGCCGAGTCGGACGACGACGACGACGGCGGCGTCGGCGCGCACCCGGAGCCCAGAGGGAGCGACGCCCGGTGTCGGGACGGGGCGGTTGACCGCTTCGCAGCCGTTCGGGACCGGGAGGAGGGTCCGTCCAAACGAAAGCAGCGGCGCTACCGAACCACTTTCACCAACTTCCAGTTGGAGGAACTGGAGAGGTCCTTCAGGAAGACCCACTACCCGGACGTGTTCACGAGGTATATATATAAATAAAAAATATATATATATGGACCTGCGGCGTTGTTGTTGGCCATTCGGTCCCATCCTTTTCCCTTTTTTTTCTCTTTTCCTTTTCTCCCTCTCTCTCTCTCTCTCTCTCTTTCCCAACCGCAAGAACTTTTTTTTCTCTCTCTCTCCACACAGTCACCCGAACTTCCCAACTTCCAAGTGAAAAAAAAACACCCCAACTCCCTTTTTTTCCCCCTCTCTCTCCCCCCTCCCAACCCCAACCCCAACCCCACACACACACAAATACCCCAAATAACACACCGTCTCCCAAATTAGGATCGTTTCAAACCGTGTCCTCAAAGGGATAACTTTATTTTACGAGACGTGAATAAAGTCCACCACCGCTTTAGAAAGAAAGTGTAGGTTTTAACCACATCCGATGAATAGGGGTAGTTTTTTTTTGGAGGGGGGGGGAAGGGGTAGTTTTAAGGGAAAAGGAGTTTATTTGGTGATTAATGTGCGAGTTCAGGTGCTAACGATTGATACCTGAGATCATTTCAGGTGTCTGTGTAGGTGGGGATTTTTTTTTTGGTGCTATTTATACGTATTCATTATTTTTATTTTATTATATTATTATTATTTTTTTGGGGGGGGGGGAAAGCATCTTTATTGCCAAGAATTGCAAAGAAAGAAAAATCGTGCGTAATGGATAATGATAAACCGTATCCAGAAATTGTGGGTCTGACGTCTTTCAACTTGTGTTTATTTCTTGACCGGTGGCAGAGGGGGTTTTTGACTGTTCAGAGGGAATCGCTGCACATTCGAGTTCAATCCGGTGCCGACTTTTCTGGAAACGGTCTCAATTGTTTTGCAGAAAGAAATGACTGTTAATATTAAGGAATGGAAAGGAAAATATGAACTGAAACCCAGACATTTCAAGGCAGTCTTTATTGGGTGGTGGTGGTGGTGGTGGAGAGAGAGAGAGAGAGAGAGAGGGAGAAAGGAAGGGGCAGTTGTTTTATTTAGTTACTTACATATATTTTTATTTGGGGGGGGAAAAAAAATAACCCTCTGTGTCTCTTCCCAGAGAAGATTTGGCCATGCGCCTCGATTTAACAGAAGCCAGAGTACAGGTGAGTGTGTTCTCTGTCACTGAAAATGAACTTAATTTTATTTTGGTGGGGGGTGGGGGTGAGAGAGAAGAGCATATCTATTTATTGCTATTATAATAATCTTTGCATTCGATACGGGGGTGGTGGGGGGGGGGGGGGGGGTCGGTTTCTCAGAGGCTTGGCAGGCTCCAGTGCGAAAGTGTGTAGTGACTTTGCAATTGCCTGAGCCAATACGGTGTTCAAAATCGTCAAGAAATGTGGGTGAAAATTCCCCCTTCAGATGCTAAAGCGGTCAATATTCAGGGGAGAGGAGCAGAGACAGACAGACAGAGAGAGAGAGAGAGAGACAGAGAGAGAGAGATAGAGAGCAGAGAGAGAGATAGAGAGAGAGAGACAGATAGAGAGAGAGAGAAACGCTTTCTCTTTGCTGAATTCTTGACATCAAGATTTGCTCGTGTTCTTCCAGTGAGGGGTTGCATTTGCACTTAACAACGACCAGATTGCTCACAACCCCCCCCCCCCCACCCACACACCCCTTTAAACGGTCGTAAATCAAAGAAACCACATGAAAGAGAAGGTATCCCCCCCCAAAAAAAAAAAAAAAAATCCCACTGCGATTAAAATAACCGAGAGCCGAGGACTCGGACCAGTTGCCTTTCCTCTTGCGGCGGCGTTGAAACTGCTCTGAAGTGAAAAAGGTTATTTAAACATTCCTCACTCCATTTGGCCGCTCCACATCAAAGTTAATTTTGTCGGCATTCGGTGTGCAATGCATTAAAAAGTTTCTGTTCTCCAGGGGCTGGCGAAATGACAACATACTATTTGGGAGTTTAGCTGAACATAAACCATATGGTGTGTGTGTGTGTGTGTGTGTCTGTGTATATATATTATATATTATGTGTGTGTGTATATTATATATAACGTGTGTGTATATTGTGTGTGTGCATATTATATATATTATTATATGTGTGTGTGTGTATTATATATTATTTATGTGTGTGTATGTTATATTATTATATATATTATGTGTGTGTATGTTATATATATTGTGTGTGTGTGAATGGCATTGGAATAGACTAATTCCGTTTGCAGAAAATTCTTCGTCATGAAATGTGTCGGGAAAATATATTTTAATCGCTATATATATATATATATATGAATGTATATATAAATAAAACAGTGCTCTCTACAGGGAGACCAAAAAGTCGTGATACCATTACGACGTCTGATAAGTCTTTAGAGAAACGATGACGAATTAGGGTAATTATTATTAAAATAAATAGTTATCACGACTGTACAGGGTCCCCTGTACGGGCACATAAAGTACCCACTCTGTGCCGCATCCCCAGATTTCGCACACAATTGTAGTTAATTAGATTCTTACCAAATGCCCAGATTACTGGTGCAGAAAGGAACACGTTTTTTTTGTCATCCTTCCAGCCCTATTATTGCAACCGATCGGATGATTTAGCTTAATGAGCTATCTTTGTTTCGTATTACCAATGGCAAAACACACCTGTTTAAACACGATATTTGGCACCAGTTGATTTTTTTTTAGATACACAGAAGCATTTTGATTATTGGGGCCGGAGTGGGCGACTGTAACTTTCATTAAAATGTCATTATTCCCAGTGATGTAGCAAAGTGTACGTCAATTCAGTTGCCACCTTGTCAGAAGGTGTCCAGTTAATAAAAAAAAACAACCTCCTAACAGACAACTTGCTCGGATTCCTCCACCTGGGCTTTTCTGTACGTTTGATGCTCTGATATTTCTCCCCCAATTCTTCCCCCACAAATGTGCGCCTCCTCAATGCCAATCTTAAACTGTTTGGGGTTGTGAACTTGTATCTCCTCTTTGGGCTCCAGACGAGATCGCCCAAAAAAAAAACCCACACACACACACACACACATTGCCATTGCGGGAAACTGGACACCTTTATTCATTACGCTGTCAGAATGGCACTTAAACTCGAGTCCCAGAGATGAAAGCAATGCGCATTTGTGCCGACTGGTCTGTCTGTCTACGGATGTTTGGGGGAGAATTCTTACAATGGAAACTTTAAGCGGAAAAATTATTTCGTATGGATCCTCAACCAGATTAAACCCGCGGTATTCTGGTCCCATCGAAGTTTTGGCATGATTCAGAAAAGGAAAAAAGTTGAATAAAAGTTTTGCACCATCTCCACCTTAAACTATGTGCTGTGATAAGCAAATCTTCGTTGCCGTTGACAATTGCCCGCCCTGTTTTCATGGTTTTTTTTATTATTATTAATTATTATTATTGCTATAAGGGGGAAATCCAAGGTGTTACAAATGGGCTACTAAATTAATTTGATTTTCTTTAGCCTTTTGTGGAATCTCAAATAATTAAAAGCCAAAGGAAAATAAGCGGAACTATATATACATATTATATTGTGTGTGTACATAGATATAATATATATATATATAAACAATTGGGTTCCTGAGGTTTTCCAATCTGGAAGTAACACTCTTTAACAACAGTTAAGTTGAAATGAGTTTCACTATTAATGACAGTGACACATTGATAAACAAAACTGCTATTAGCTGTGCCAGCGACCAGCTTTGTAGTGTAGTGAGAGGATGATGTATCACTTTTATGTATGTGGTTAGCTCCTAATCTTTTGTTATGTCGCCTTCTCCAAGGTTTGGTTTCAAAACCGTCGGGCGAAGTGGAGAAAGCGTGAAAAGGCAGGAAACCTGAGTCATCCCCACGGCTTGTCCTTGGCCAGCCCACTGGGGCTGTATCTGGATGTGCCTTTGAGTCATTCGTCTGGTCTGGAGCCCACCTGGCGATCAGCTGCTCTCCCTGCACTGAATGCACCCACAGCTGCTCTCAGCCCAGCAGCCCAACTGGGCATCAGCACCTTCATAGGGGCCACCTTCTTCAGAAACCCACTCCTCAGCCCGCACTTTGGAAGGTAAGTTGGATCTCCCCCACCCACCAAGGCACAACTTTGTCTTCTTAGTTTGAAGACTCCCTACTTCCCAATCGGTTATTATGGCTCAAAGTGAAGATTTGAGTAGCTATTGTAAGATGCTGCCTGGTGAGGTCAGTGACATTTTTAAAAAATAAATAATAATAATAATACTTGGATTTGGTATAGTGCCTTATCAAGCTGTTGAGACATCTTAAAGCGCTTCACAGAATATATTGTAAAGCGAATTGACTGCATTTTATGGGAGAAAATTAGGGCGGATAAACACTAACTATGTACTGTTCATCCAATCAGGTTATGATGGTAATAGAGTTATCCTTTTCACTAAAATGATGGTATCACATGACACGACTTTCTTTTGGTGAAGGGAATTACACCTGGAATGAGTTCTATTAGAAAATAAATTGAGTTAATTTTGTAACTGCCTTTTTTCAATTAAATATATACTCATATCCAAGTTACAATTTATGTGTGTGTGCGTGTGTATGTGGCAGGGTAGAAGTTTATACAAATGTAATTTGTTGCAGTTGATAGCCACAAATTCTGTATGAAGGGGAAAGGATGACTCTCTTTAGTGTATAATTGCGATCTACTGTGACAATTCATTCAATTCAAACATGGTTGGCCACTTAACCTTTGTTATCAATGCCGTTTCAACAAAGTGAAATATTGTTGAATATAAATCGGGAAATAACTACAATATTAATAACTGATAACCGAGGGCATTAACATTTTCATTGATATTGCAACGATAACAAAGATAACAACAAAAGTGCAATAATATTCTACCGACAAATGATTGAATGCCTACTTATGGGCTACTCAAATATGTTACAGATGAAGGCAATGTAGGTGCAATCATTCAATTTGTGAATAACGTAAAGTTCTTTTCATCATTTCACCCAAGGGGAAATAGTCATTGTTTGCGGTCCAGTTGCTCATTTTAGATCTCTTCAGTTTCAGTTGTCTTTTGGTTTCCGTTGTTCATTTGAAAGCCACGCTGCCCTTTCAGACTAATTGTGGAATTTAGTTACAAGAACACAAGATAGCTGCACGATTCAACACTTGGGTTTACATGTAAAGGAACACCCAATAGTATTCACCTTATGTAGTTGATTATGGATACAAATCTTTGAAACTGTGATTGATGCATATCCACAAAGATGAATTACGTTCAAGTTCACGTTTTAGAGTTAGGGTGCACGTAATTCCGAGCAGGTGAATTCAATCAAATACTATGTAACGTCAAGACAGTCAAAATTATAATTTATTAAATCACTCATTTGCAAAGACCAGCTGGAATTTTTTATTCTCATTCAGAAACTTATCCCTTTCTTGAATATGTTTTTTTTTTCTGAGCCAACTTCAGAGTTGACGATATGGAAGTGTATGAAATGAAACGTTCAATATTCCCCTGTCTCTATGGTGACACTGTACACACCTGTTAATTCTTGCAGATTCTTCGCAGCTATGAATCCACTAATGGCAACGTCTGTAGTTGTTAAACCCCCAGTTCCTCCTCTGGACCCTGTGGCCTTCACTGCTCTCCCCGAGCCATCTGCTACAGACAGGAAAACATCCAGTATTGCTGCCCTGAGACTCAAAGCGAAAGAACATGCAGCACAAAGCCCACAGATCGGTATCAGCTCTAACCTAGGCAATGCCAGCAAGGAGATCTGCTAAACTAGTCAACTGATTGCAAATAACTATTATCAATGGTCACACATGCTTTTACTGCTCGGTCCCAATATCAGAGGGTTGATGGAGGGAAATCAAGACACCATGAAACTCAAAAATCAGTTTGAACCTGAATACATTTTGAAAGTTTTATTTGTGACCATGATGTTTTGTTTCATAAATTGAGTTTAAATCTTACAGTAAATAACCGAAAACACTTGTTTCTTTGCCAAAATATGTTGATATGTTGTAAATTTATTAAAGCCAAAGTAATTACAAAAACTGTGCCTCTATAGTATCATGTGCATTTGAATAATCGGGAACTGCACTTGACTGCTACAAGGCTGTAATTCTGGTTCTAACACCTACAAAAGACTTCCAAATGTACAAGCGCTATAAATGTGTAGATAGGAAATGTTGTGTGTTTAGACAGTCATTTATCAATTCATGATCTATTTAATTTATAAAATGGGTATCACATTTGACAGACATAGTATTTTAACAAAAAGTGATGTAATTCTTGTGTTCTTCCATTTTATCATGTGAGATTTCAACAAATAAAAGCAAATTTGACTACTCTGATGTATTACAAGATTAACTTTAAAAGGTTATTCTTCACATTATAATGCCCTCCAGGTCAAGAAGAAAGTACAATTGAATACATGAATGAGCTCTATTCAGTGAGAAGTCATTCAACTCAAATGGGTGCCGATTACATAGAGATTGTTTCATATTCTGATCAAAAATTGTTGGTTGAATGATTTTGGCGTAAACATTAAATCGGTTTGTTCCAGATTAACTATAAAGCAATTGGACTAACTCAACATTCAAAATCCTTCATGTTACACAATTGCAACAGTACACGAACAAAGATTGGTCTTTGGTTAATGCTATTATAATTTGACACCGCACATTGGAAGCCATGTAATGAACATACATTTGAAAGAAAAAGGGTTTACTTGAAATTGTTTGTACACTTTGCTTTTGTTGTCTTCTAATCCACCCTAGTAACATAGAAGTTGCTTCTTGTGAATGTGTTTAATTGACACAAATACAACAAATTACTCAGGGTTGGGGTGAAGGAGAGGATAATAATAAATAATCCTTGCATTTGATATAGCACCTAATCATATCATCGAGGCATCTCAAAGCGCTTCACAGAATATACTGTGAAGTGAATTGACCGTGTATTTTATAGGCAAAGCAAAAGGATGCTTCAATTGTATTAAGAAAAGCTAATGTCAGTCAATAGCAATCCATTATTTATCCTATCTGGGCTGTATTGACTGGAATAAGAAATGTGAATAACCTACTATCTAAAACGTTTATGGTCTTCATGAAAGCTACATTCAATTTTGAATAAATCAGATTGTGATTAATATATTTCTAGCCACATCTCCAAATATATTAAATGATGATCCATGTACCAATAATTAGTTTTTTTTTTAAACTGGATGAATCCAGCAACATATTTTTAATGAAATCATTTCTGGAAAAAGGTAACTTCAGAATTTTGGTTCACATCCTTTAATTTCCAAGAGACAAACAGTGAATATTTAGCAATGGGGGAAGGGGTTGATATTCCACTTAGCTTTTCAGTTGTTTCATTTTCTTTCATGAACGCATTTTTCTCTTGAAATTAGAACTAAATCCAAATTAGGAACAAAAAAAAATAAACAACCAGTTGGCTTCAAGTAAATGGTATGATCAAAGCTGGACAGGATTTATTCTGCAGCTGATAAAATGCGATTAATTGGAATACATTCATTGCAGACCTCACACCTGGAACGCACACAGTCTGGATTCAAACACACAGAATTGCTTTTTTAGATCATAAGCTAGTAACACCCTTCCATCAGCTGTATGCCAACGGCCAATGGTTCAACATGAAAGGACCATTGATGCGTGATTGCTGGGATTTTATGAGATTGCTCTTCCCCTTGAAAAGTTTAAATCGCACTGTGAAAACCTACCCGGTCTGGTGTTAATATAGCATTTCGAAATCTTTGGAACAATAGCCAGCTCTGACTTGGGAGCCTGGGAGAAACTCAATGGGGTCCACAACTGCTGGGGTAACAGAAAGAGGCTGTTCGTTGTCGGGTGGGCATTGATGCCTCTCGAATGTTCCCGGTTACAGTCAGTTATCCCAATTATCTTTAGTAAAATTATCTTTAGTTATCCCAAGGTCGCAGCGAAATAATAATGGTTACAATCTGCACAATTTATTTTCTTACTTAATAGTTTGTGAAACATTTGAGTTGCGAGTCACTGTATTCATGTTTTTTGTTTCATTCAATTTGACTGCAGCATATACGAGTACAAGAAATAACAGAAAAAGCTCTTCAACACATATTGCATAAGCCTGATGTGGGTACTGAACACAGCAAAACACTATCAATTGAACAAGCACTAGTTACCACTTAAAAGAGAGATTCACAATGAACTGTAATGATTCAACATAAACAGTTTCATAGAAACAGATAGAAAACTTAAATCTTAAATTTCTGTTTATTAATTCTATACTTAAGCCAAGTGCACCACCTCTTTTGTTATTCTGTAGGAGTTTTGCAGACATGATTAATCATTTACAGGCTTACTGGTAAGGATGCTCAAAACAATCTTGTACCATAATGACTAACCCAGCAGAGATTGAAATGCACATCCTTAAATATGGTCAGCATACACTGACTTAAGCGTATCACGATGAAACAATTCTCTTGGTTGTGATTTTCTGCCCACCTGACTCTGCTATCGTGTTCATTCTAGCCACAAGTAGAAGTGAAGCAAACATGAGTCAGTGATACAGTATAAGTTTTAATTGTAACTTTTAAGCCATTATGGCAAAGGTAGCCAAGCTTTCTTATGATGAAGGGGCATGTTCCGAAAGGACATGTTGTCCACAGCCCTGGAATCTAGTCATCACATATTAGACAGAAATATCTTGATAAATAATTCTTGCATTTGATACAGCACCTACTCACATTGTCAAACAGCAACATCCCACAAAAAGTAATGAAGGGAATTACCATTTTTTTTCATGCGGTACCATTTCAAAGTGTCTCACTGTATATTTGGAAGTGTCGTCTTTTGAATGTTAAAGTGAGGTCTCATATCCCTTCCGTTCAAGTGGACAGTAGGATGGATACAAGTTGAATTGCCTTATCCATACTGTAATTAGGCTTCTACATAATTTGTTTAATTCATTTACCAAAATATACAGTTCCTATTCGAATGGCTTATACTGGCCTGCAACAGCTCAAATATTCATCAAAGTAAATCCAAAATCAGTCACCAGTAATTAGGATGGATGAAGTTTTAGAGCATTTGGAGCCAAAAGGCAAATCACAATTTCAGTTGCGAATTTGTTGAAGCCACAGAGGTAGGCAACTCTGAACAAGGAGGAGGCAAATATTCAGAAGGCAGATTAGTTACCCTGGACACTTTATAATGGTTGACTGCCAATTTGGCAGAGCAATAGATCTTCTGAAAGGAAAATGATTGCAGAAAACAGTAGTGTGGCTTTGAAACGAAACAGTAGCACTTTGATTAAGATTTGTGTGTGACTTTTAAAAAAATTTGGTGTGTGATTTTGTTTTAAGAAATACTGCAAAGGTGTATACAGTCTGATAGACAATACAACCTGCACTGATTATACATATATATATAAAAAAAGAAAACTGTACACAACAAAGAGTGCTCTGCTCCTGCACATCCAATATCACATATGATGGGGTCAGTGGTTTCAGTTTGAAATGTAGCAATTCAAAACAAAATCAATTTGTTCATTCAGGCAAACTGAGTTTAAAATCTACCTTTCAATTTAAAAGAAAAGGAGCTGAATCGGAAATTACAAAATGTACATAGAATCACATCGACTGGCAACAGAAAGCTTTGGGCCTGTAAAATCAATTATCTGCATAGATATAGGAAAATGTTAATCTCCATAAAGATAGTATTTAGCTTTGGTTGTTGACTTATCCATCCATCAAAATTCCAGTCTGGACAGGTCTCTCAGCTATAATACTATTGGCAAGATAAGACTACTGGAGCTGACTTCCTGGTGTTTTCCTATTATATTTTATGCTGGGTTATGTGACTTTTGCTGTGTTATGCATCTTATTCCGATAGAAATTTTCTTTTCTTTTAGCAGGATCATGGAGAGTGAGTTTTTTTTAAAGTGTGGGGGTGAAATTTTTTAAATTTCTTAGCATCAAATGAATGTGAAACATCAAATTATTGACCCCAAAAATGCAACTACTGTATATAAAATTATGAGCCGATGTAAATCAAAATAATTGATGGGACCAGTGAATGTTATTGTTGAGGTAACTGAAGACTTATGGTGCCTGTGGAATTGTGAGTTCAATTGAGATAGTTTGTTTTTAGAAAAACTACAATTTAGCAATTATAACTGGAAAAAAACTTTGCTTTTTCGAGCAGATGTTTACAACATATCCTCCAGCTTCAGTCTTGGACATGATAATAAATGCTCAGATTCTTGAATAAACATCATGTCAATAGTTCTCCATTATAACAGTCAAATGCAGTCAGCGTTTGAACATTATTTACCAACAGTGGTTTGTATAATTAGGGTAATTTCAATTTATTTCATCAAAGATGACTTCCAGTAATTAGGTGACAGTATAAATATGCAAACAAGATATTATGGCAACAACAACTTGTACTTACATGTAAACTGAACGTCTTGAAGCTAATGGCAACAAAAGATGTGACAGCAAAATAATAGGGTTAAAAAAAATTGACCAAATAACTAAAAATAATGGACTCCACTCCTGTCCTGAATAAATGAATAAAATAAGTGTTGAAAGCAGGACCTGGTGTGAAACTGAGCCATTCACATTGAAAATTCCAGGTTCAATCCTTGTGTGGTGCGATCTGATCTCATCTGGGAACTAAAATGTGGCTTCAGTATTCCTGAACTAAAGGGGAAAATAATCAGTCAGGTTTTCCACTTTCTCATCACTGCCTCAATTTGTAGCACTCTTGTCTCTCTGTGAGGTTGTTGGTTCAAGCTAATGTCAGGACTTTAGCTCAGAATCTAGACTAACACTCCAGTACACAACTAGGGGAGTGCTGCATTTTCAATGATGCAATCTTTACGATGATGATTAAACCAAAATGCCACCCGCTTGTTCAGATAGAGAAGACAAATTCTATGATACTATTCAAAAAGAGAAGGGAGTT